AGTGAGTGAATGAGTGAGTGAGTGAGAGAGTGAGTGAGTGAGTGAGAGAGTGAGTGAGTGAGAGAGTGAATGAGAGAGTGAGTGAGTGAGTGAGTGAGTGAGTGAGTGAGTGAGTGCTACTCTGTGTTTCCCTTCAGTGTCGCGTTAACCACACCTCACACACTTTGACAGACAGGTTCACGTGGCTGCTGACTTATAGATAATTGGTTGTGTGTAACTCCCAGTGACTCTCTTCAGATCCCGTCTTCCACTGTGCTCGTCCCCGAGTCTGCTGTTCCTGCTGAAAGGACGCTTGAGACACCCCCTCATGCCCTCCCTCCATACCCCACAAAGCCTCCTTCTCATAGAAGCAGCCAGCTTCAGCCTTCGCTCTAATTAGGGCCGGCAGGGAGGGAAGTTGGCAAATGGGTCTGTTTTTCTTCGTGATGCTGCCAATCTGAGAAACTCAGTTCTGGGGAAGACCCCTTGCCAGAACAACCAGTTAAAACAAGAGTACCACTGCCTCTAGGCTTCATCAGAATATGATGAAATAAATAAATACCATAAATCATTAATAAGCAAGGCAGGGAGTGGGTGGTGGAGGGTGGACTTGGGAAAATGTGCTCACACCAAGCAGTGAAGTTCCGCATGAGCCTGTGATGCTGTGGTCCATGTGGATGCCTGCTGGGCTGGCGTGAAGGAAGATGAGGCAGCCCACTCTTACCTCTGTTCCTTTTACTTCGTAAAATAGCTTTTTCTGTCCAACCTACCCACAGGATGCTATGGTTCCATACTCCCCTTATCCTTTCCCCTGGCTTTGTGCTTCTATAAAGAGTTACCGTCCCGGAAACCTACAGGGGAAGTGCCCCTCTGTGCTATAGGGTCGTTATGGGCCAGAATAGGCTGTAAGGCAGTGAGTTTATGATAATCCACTGGGGAGGTGCTGGCAAACACCATGCGCTGCACAGGGAATGTCCCTAGCCACAGAGAGGTCAGCCCCAATGTCAACAGTACCACTGCTGAAGAACGGTGGTGTAGAGAGAGTTGGAAATGCTTCATGGTCCCTCAGGTTGGGCAGACAACAGGGTGAGCCCCCGTGGGGCCAGCTAGACACCGCCAGCCTTGTACCACGTAGCTCTCAAAAGTTGTTGCCCCAATGTGGCGGAGAAAGCTGATGGTGCCCAGCTATCAGAAAGTATAGCGTCTGGGGTCTTAAAGGCTTGAAGATAATCAAGCGGCCATCAAGCTCAGAAGCAACAAAGCCCACATGGAAGAAGCACACCAGCCTATGCAACCATGAGGTGTCGAAGGGATCAGGTGTAAGGCATCATCAGAACAAAAAATCTTACCATAGTGAATGATGGGGGGTGTGCGGAGTGGAGATCCAAAGCCCATTAGTAGGCCACTGGAGATCCCCTTGCAGAGGGGTCTTGGGGAGGAGACGAGCCAGTCAGGGTGCGATGTAGCAACGATGAAAAATACAACTTTCCTCTAGTTCCTAAATGTTTCCTCCTCGCTCCCACTATCATGACACGAATTCTACCTTGCAAGTCTGGCTAGACCAGAGGATGTACACTGGTACAGATAGGAACTGGAAACACAGGGAATCCACGGTGGATGATCCCTACAGGACCAGTAGTGTGAGTGGCGTTACTTGGAGGGTAGAGGGAGAGTGGGTTGGAAAGAGGGAACCGATTACTGTACAAGGAACTATATGTGACCTCCTCCCTGGGGGATGGACAACAGAAAAGTGGGTGAAGGGAGACGTCGGACAGGGCAAGTTATGACAAAATAATAATTTATAAAGTATCAAGGGCTCACGAGGGAGGGGGGAATGGGGAGGGAGGGGAAAAATGAGGACCTAAAGCCAGGGGCTTAAGTGGAGAGGAAATGTTTTGAGAATGATGAGGGCAAGGAATGTACAAATGCGCTTTACACAATTGTGTATGTATGGATTGTGATGAGTTGTATGAGCCCCTAATAAAACGATTAAAAAAAAAAAGAGTTGTTGTCCCATGAGCAGTGGGGGCAGATCAGATTCCAGAATTCCAGAATCCAGATTTTATGTAAAATGTCCACATTTTGAAACACCAGCGATGAAGCCAAATTAGCAAAGGTGAAAGGGAAAACGAGGACATCAAACAGACCCTGACCGTGGGCTGGACCAGCTTGTGGGTGGTTGCTCGGGAAGCTCTCACACAGACAGTCTGGTCCCATCGGTGCCCGGGTGGGGAGTCAACCCAGGGCGGAAAGATGCAGGCCAGGGTTCTAGTCATCTGTTCTTCTCTGTGCACTTTGCATTTGAATCAGTTCTGACTCGTGACAACTCCATGTGCATCAGAGGAGAACTGTGCTCCATAGGGTTACTAATGGCTATGGGGTCAGAGGTAGATCAGGAGGCCTTTCTTCCAAGGTAACCTTGCACGAACTAGAACTGTGAACTTTTGAGGGTGTTAACTCTTTGCACCTTTCAGTAATTCCTCTCTCTGCTTAGATGGAGATCATACAACTGAGGCCAAAGTCAAGGAGAAGGGGCTCTTTTAGTTATCAGGGACTGGGGGAGGGGGATGGGTTATGAACCTGGTGGCGTAGGGCTTCCGCACCGAGCTACGATTTGATAGGTCCATACCGAGTTGGATCCATCTCAGAAACCTACAGGATCCGTTCCACCGTGTCCTAGAGAGTCATTATGAGTTGGCATCGACTCAATGGCCATGAGATGTTTGTGGGGTTAGGAAACCACAAAAAAGTGTTGACGGTTCTAAAATTGATCAAGTACTGTTTCCCATAGTTTCTGAAAGCCGTCTCACACGTTCCTCTGCATGAAAGTCCCCTGGATTCCCCGTGCACATTCTAAACTCTGGACGTCGCTCTTCCAAGTTCACATCTATACTGATGTGCGTTAACGACTTCACAATCCCACAGGGTTGTCAAGGAGATTAAGTAAAACAATGTGCACACGTTTCTCTTGTAGCACTAAAAGTTGGTTGACTATAGACCTTCACTGTTTGAATTGAAGCATAGGCTTTTCTTTCTTTCTTTTTTCAGGATGGTATTGGTGACCGACTCCTGGGATAATGTGCTGAAAGTTCACTCCCCTTGCAGTTGGAGGGCAGACACATGTTCTTTGTGTCTGGGAGGTACGCCTGAGATTTCTTTTGTCTCTCCCCTGCTTTGGGGGAAAGTACATTTGGCATGGCCTTCAAATGTCTGCCTCCCCCACACTTTTTGTAGCATGGAAGCTTTGTAAATGGGCCTTGTTAAGGAACAAGCACCATCTTCATACCTGCTGAAATTTAATTCTCATCCAGAGGCTGTGTCAGGAACAAGGGGGTGGTAATGCCAACAGCGCAGACAGTCCAGCCCACGCAGGTACACTCGCATGGACCAAGCTTGCTCGCAAAGAACCCTTTATCCTGACTCTTTCACCTCCCCCAGCCCAGCCCGAGCCATGGGAAAAAGAATGGTTTTAAAGAGACAGGCCAATTTTACCCACCTTACACAATAGTGCATCACAGAGTTTCCAGAACGACGCCATTCAGGGTGAATCACCAAATTCAGGATGAAAAGGGTTTGATTTGCAAAAGCGCTCGAGCATTTCTCTTTAGAGCTGGAGCTGATGGGGAAGGAACCGACATGCCTGCAGCTGCCTCACCTTTGGACCAGGTGCACTGGCAAGCTCCCCACCGCGGAGCGGGGTGAATGCTCCCGATGTTCCCTGGCGCCGGGCCCTTGTGAATGCCTTCTTTAAGGCGTTAGTGATGGTGGGGTATTGAAGTGAGTGGAATTGAGTCAAAGTATGAACTGCAGGTTAACAGTAACTGAAATGAATGTTGAACACTTTTCAGGTCCTGAAATGGGGTTCATCAACTCAGGTAAGAGGTGATGAGAGAGAATGCTAGATTGAGGATTCTATCGTGTAGGATGATTTCCGCTACTATTCACAAGAAAGGTTGCCAAAGTCACTAGCACCCTTCTTAGTTCAAGTTCAGACTCAAAGCTGGCAGGATTAGTTTCATCTTGGAGCTTACTGGAGTTGCATATGCCTCAGGTCCAGTTCAGATCTCCCGAATCAGAGCCTACCTTGGAACAAGAGCTAACGTCGCCCTTGTGCGTTGCACAGTGGCTGCAGTTCAAAGCCACGGAGCCACTCCTTGGGAGCCAAATGTGGCTCTCTACTCCTGGAAAGAGGTACAGTCTCGGAAACCCACAGGGGCAGGTCCACCCTGTCCTGTGTGGCTGCTGTGAGTCGGGCTTGACTCAATGGCAGGGAGGTGAGTATGTGCGCTTTATCCTTTAGGAAGCACTGTCTTCCACAGGGAAGACCTTGGTTTCTTTTTAAGAGCTCACATTAGAAATAGATCGGAGGTAAGCAGTGGCAGAATGGATGCACCAGCCCCTCCGCACTGTTAAGAAGGGCCTGGATGCTGCCCATGCTCCTGCTCTACTTCATGGGCTATCTTTCCTTTTTTTAATATAATCTTTTTTGGTTTTTGCTCCCAGAAAATAAAAACAAAATAATGTGTTCCCACCACACACAGGAGGGGTAGGGGTAGACTGAGCTCTCTGTCCGTGCAGCCGGGCCCATAACCCGTGTGTCTTACAGCAATAAGGGGTGTGAGGCCATGCCTCTCCGCAGTCAGAAGGGTGTACAAGGGAAGCAGCTCAAGGGCATATTCCGTTCTAGGCTAACTACGTTTTGTCCACAGACTTTTGAAGCATGTGTGTGTTTGTGTGTGTGTGAGACAGTGGTGCAGACCGGGTCAGTACTGAGGGCTCTGCAGGCCAGGTAGGAGGCCATCTCATGGCATTTCTTATTCATCAAGCCCCATGGACACCGTCTTTGCCCATTGACAGGCCTGCCACCTTGGCGGTCATGATGGCTGTGGTGTCGATGGTGCTGGCTCTGCTCATGTTCTTGGGCAGCAAAGATCCAGCAAAGATTCTCTATCCAGCAGCCTTGAATCTGCCATCACTGGCCAACAG